CGATGAAAAAGAATGGAGGGGGATCGATTTCTGAAGAAAATGGACTGGAGTCGGTTCGAAAAGGTTAGTCTTTAAAATATTTTGTTTAGCACAGGCGAATTTAACACTGATTAGTGATAAAAACTTTTGTCTGTTCAGGTGCTCATGCCTTTGCACAGTGATGAAAAACATTGGGTGTTGTCTGAAATTGACCTACTGAATAAGGTCGTACAGGTATACAATTCTATGAAGGCGAGTAGGTCGGTTGCATTTGTACATCTTTTATGTATTAATTTTCCACTGCTGGTTCGGATCATAAATTGCAACCCTGTCTTAGCTCCATAGCCGATTTACAACCTTGGAGAGCGGAGGTAGTGGACGATGTTCCACAATAGCAGCCAAGGTACATTAATGTTTTGTGTTTATTATGTTTATCTGTACACACTACGAACTTGTCTATTTTTTGAAATGAAATGTATGTATGACTTGTACTATTTTCGGCGTTCGGCGTTTGCCAAGGCACTGATGCAAAAGTTTCCTTTGATGCTGGACTGTGCATATGAGAACATGACAGCGAAAAGGTGTGAATTTGCGATTAGGCTCTTGACTTTGAGGAAGCCATCAACTTAGACAACATAGCTTGGATGTGCATGTTCAATGTTGGATGGGTTTGATTATAAAACATTGATGTATCTTTACTATATACTCCCTCCGTCCCATTTAAAGGTTTCCGCTTTCCTTTTTTGGACGTCCCACTTAAAGGTTCTCAGTTTCTATTCTAGGAAACAATTAACAATCTTAAATGGAAATTTAATCATCAAATACTAAAAAATACATTTATAAAATCACAATCATCATCAATAGCCCATTATATTATATACTCATCAAAATTATTTCTCAAAATATACTTGAATTAGCATATTTAATTATTGTCTAAATAATCGTGCCATTTTGCCACAGGAACCTTTAAATGGGACGGAGTGTGCACATTTTTTGTGCTTATTTTATACCTGCATGGGTTTGGTTGTTAAATGTAGAAGGTTGTACAATGTTACACTAACAATGTTGTACAATGTCCTACATCCCAAGTATTACCTGCAATAATATGTCTTTTTGTTTCTGTGGGAAACACTTACCGTCGTTGGTGTTAATTAATATACGGAAGAAGCCTTTGCCCGTCATATTAATCATATTGGATGTGCTTTAATACGTATTTGTCTATGATTTGTGTGGTATTTGTCTGTGCTATGTATCCCTTTATCTATTGTGTGTCTGTGAAGAACAAAAACTTGGTCTATGCTTAAATACGTATTCGTCTGTGAATTGTGTTGTATTTGTCTGTGCTATGTATCCCCTTGTCTATTGTGCGTCTATGAAGAACAAAAACTTTATCTTTGCTACGTCTTTGTCTATGATTTGTGTCGTATTTGTTTGTGCTATGTATCCCCTTGTCTAAAGTTTGAATAAGAGAGTTTTGAGAAAATAAATACATTTTTGAAATGTTAAAGTACACTAATTAGTTCATCTAGCTTTAAACTCCTTGAACTTAGATAGAGTGTAAATTTGTTGGACTTGTTCTTCCATGGAAAATGATGTAACACAAGGAATCATTTTTCAACCTTATATAGACTTGTAAATTTGTTGGACTTGTTGGACTTAGATAGACTTGTATCTGCAGGAAATTCTTTTTCCACCTTATTTCGCAATGCGCGTTCGTATTGCTCAATGAATTGTTTATGACTAGTTTTCGAATTGACATACCCATCGAAAAAAGCATTCATACTTTCACTTTGTTGAGTGGTAGACATACCCACCCAAAACGTTGGCTTTAAGTAACATGGTACCCACCGGTGTCGTTCGTTGTACATCACTTCAAGCCATTCATGATTTTATAGGGGAATACCTGAAGTAACATTAATAATATCTATGAAGTACATATACAATGTCTGCCCGCAAACAGTATTGTGCCTGTGGTGTACATTTATTATGTCTGTGACATACAAATTTCTTTCGAACATAGACAATATCTTTCTGTTATGGGCACACAATCTTAGTACATATACACCGTTTTATCTGCCCACAAACATTAAGGTGCCCGTGTTATACATTAAAAATGCCCATGTAGTAAAGAATTCATTCTTCCACAAACAAAATGTTTCCGTTATGATCATACAATATTAGGACAAATTCAATGTCTTCTCTGCCTGCAAACAATATACGGTCTGTGAAGTACACTTACTATTGTTTGGGAAGTGAATGTAATTTTTTTTCACAAACAAAATGTTTTTGTAATGGCCAAATTTTTAAGGAAATAAAGAGTACATTTGTATCATGTTCTTCCAACTTTGCTCAAATTCAATAACATATTGTGAGTCATAAATGAATTCATGAATAACATCCAAGATTTCTTTTCCCCCAGTAATTCCTCCCATTTTTTCCAGTACTTTTTTTGTAATACGCCATAGACACCATCTATGTCTCGTATTTGGGAAAAAAATTTGGATGACGTTTTGCATTGCATGGTCTTGATTCGTAATAATGCCCATCGGAGCATGTTCTTCCGCACACTCGTGCCATGCTTTAAAAAGCCACATGAATGTTTGCGTATCTTCACTAGAGATTAATCTGCATCCTAGCAAATTTGATTGACCGTGATGATTAACTCCGAAAAATTGTGCAAAAGGCATTTCATACCGATTCGTGAGGTAGGTCGTGTCAAAAGTGATGATATCTCCAAAATCTTAGTATGCATATCTATATCGATTGTTGGCCCAAAACACATTATGCAATCGGGGCTCCTCATCTAAGTCAAGAACAAAGAAAAATCCGGGGCATTAAGCTTGCATCATAACAAAACCCCTTGAATTGTCATGGCATCACCACTCCTTAACCTAAGTTGTCTTACCCTATCAATGTAGTTCCTATAATCTTTTTCAATAAAAGGAAGTTGATCATATCCACCGGTTTCAATAACGGCTGAATTGAAGGTTTTATGAAGTCGTATTCTGGCAACATCGTTGATTTAAAGTTGCCTCATCACTTGGGGAGTCAAAGTCCTATTGCCCGAAATAGGCGAGCCTTCGTTGGACTCATAGGATGTGTATGCTCAAGACAGATTTTTGAAATTTCCCAATGTCCCGCATAATTTGTTTGTGCTCATATTCTTGCTCCGCACCCCATTTGCATTGAAGGTTATGACTTCATTTGATTTTTTCACTTGCTAAATCTATTACTGGAACAAGAAAACTCTAGTAACACTCCAACTATATCTACTCTATTTTTGTGTTTCGTTGTACTCCTAGCTCTTACGCGAAATCCTAAATGCTTCCCATATGTCTTGTAAAAATCATACACCGCTTCTTTGCTATCAAATTCCATACCATCATCCAGAGCATTTATAGAATCAACTTCACTCTCATTTTGTTGAATTTCTTCATCTCACCAATATTTATGTATTTGAATGAATAAACAATGTGCGTTTGTGAACATGCACACACAGGGGGTAAGCACCCAAAAAGAGAATTACAACATACACACGAACAATAGTATATTCACACACAGACAATTGGATAATATACAAAGACATATTCAACACTTCGCAAACAGAGAGACGATTTAATACACTTCGCACAAACACTACACAAGTATAGACAATTTTCTGTGAAGAAGAAACACATATTGACTTTCAAAGCAACTGCAATCACATACATAAACGATCAAACATCAACACGAAGTCATACCAAGCTCAGAAACATCATCCATGGTCACAGCCGGTTCTCTGTCAACTTCATCTCTCACCGGAATTTGTCCTTCACCTCGAGAACCACTGGTCGTATGATCCCATTCAACACAAAAGTCTTCCGTTGTAGTATTAATGACTGCTTCATCCAAAACGCCACCAAAATCCATTGATTTAGCAGAGAGGAGCTTAGGTTGCTTACGTTGAGCTGGCTGCTAAAGAAGAAAGAAAGAACGAAGCAGGAAGAGAGGAGAGAGGAGAGGAGCCTAGGTGTTGTCTTCGCACATTGGGGGGGGGGGGGGGGGGGGGGGGTAAAATGGTAATTTGTAGGCTATTTATAGTGTGCATGTGTGTGTGGAAAGTGTGTACAAAAAGCAAAATTGTACAGACATTAGTTGTCTTTTAGAGACAAAAATGTTTGGCATAGATAAAAAATGTTCGAGCACAAACGTTTCTCATGCGCCCAGATAATTAATGTTTGTACACAAACATTGGTTTATAAGCCACAAGCACTGCCATCCCTGTAAAAAAGGCACAAAAATCGATATTTGCTCACAAACATTATTTTGTCTAAAACTTACATTTTGTCGCATTACAGAACACTGTTCGAAAAAGGTATTCTGAAGAAGTATTCAATATCTCCAAATAGGACATCATTTTTACTAAAATATGTAGTTCATCACGGGACATGCCAATATATAAACGGTAACAACTTATACAAGTGTCATTCTCATATAGTAGTAACCACTATTTCAAATTATATTTGGAATAAATGAAATAAGTAAACAGAGAAAATAAATTAAATGACAATAATATAAATAAAATTCCGAGATGATAAAAAACAAATAGGGAGAACTTTTTTCCAAGAAAAAGGAAAAAAGGTTGCTTTGAGAAAAGGCAAAAACTAAAATTGCAGGTTATCAATAAATTAAAACCGCGAAAGAAGATTGATGTGTAAAAATGAATTTATTTTGAGATTACTCAAATGTGAAACTATTTTGTAAAATAGGTGCAAAATGGAAATAATTTTAGAAGTTGCACTGAATATGAGTAAAAACGTTTTAAAATTAGAAAAAACTTGACACAAACTGCAATGTTTAAAGTTCGATAAAGTCAAACTTAACAAAATTACTCCTATTTAAATAATAAAAACATAATAATCTTATTTTGGAATTTTAAGACTTTACTCGTATTTCCAAATTTCCAAATTTGAATCTCATTTTTGTAATGGATAACAACATACAGATGCAGTGTACAAGAAATATGAATAGTCATTATTATACGGAGTAAATAAATACCCACACAGATCCCTATGGAATGAAGGGAATAGCAACGCACCATAGCTCGCTGAAACTCATTCTGTTTGCTTTGGTTAAAGCGTCCACTTTTCTTATTCTCGAGAGAAAAGAGAAAGTTTTATTTTTATTTTTGTTTTTGTTTCTACAAGGGAAACAAAATGGGTATCTCGTGTATTTTTTTCTATTCTATGCTTCTGGAGCTCTGATCTTCAACTTCATCAACTGCTGCTACACTACAGACTATGTGGTGAGTTTTGATACTCGTATAAATGATGATGCCGATGATGAGTACCATGGGGTTCCGTTCTCTTCATTCTTTGTGATGAAAAGAAATGATTGTCGCATTTATCGACCCAATGATTGAGTTTCTTGAACTCCATGAACACTTCGTGGAGATTAAGAAAACTGAGACAGACAAAAGATTCATTTTTTTTGTTTTTTTGCAGAAATATGAATCACAAGAACAATAACAATGACAACAATGGCTGGTTGGGATTTTCTCTAATGTCTCCCCATATGAAAATGGAGGCTCCTTCTCCTTCTACAGCTATGGCTCCAAGCTTTCACCTTTCTCCATCTCTATGTTATGGTGTTGGAGAACCTTCTCCCTTCCACTTTCCTCTTCCAGTTATTATGCCTCTCAAATCAGATGGTTCACTGTGTATTATGCAACCCCTCTCAAGATCCCAACCAAATGGTAAAACTTTCTTTTTACCAAAATTTTCTTGCTCCTTTTTACCTTTATTCCCCTCTTTTCTTGGTTCTAATTTTTTTTACTTGTAAAGGCATGGTATCAAATGATAATAGCCCAAAGTTGGAGGACTTTTTGGGAGGTGCAACAATGGGGGGAAATCCCTTTGGTGGTCATCAAAGGGAAACAATGGCTCTTAGCTTGGACAGTATTTACTATCATAACTCTGACCAGGAATCTAGGCAGAGATCTATGGACTTTTTTCAAGAACCCCAAACGCACCATTCTTACTATTCTACCCTGCAATGTCATGAAATTTACCAAGAACCACTTCAGGTGGTGGCCAAACCAGCCCATCACCTTGCTGACTGTGTTGAAAATGAGTTTAAACAATGGGGTTCTTCTGGTCATTTTGGTGGTGGTCAACAAGGCCTTGACCACCACCACACCTCCACTGCCAGCTGTGAGAGTGGAATGGGTTGCAATGAGTTGCAGTCATTGACCTTGTCTATGAGTCCAGGCTCTCAGTCCAGTTGTGTCACTGCTGCAAGGCATATTTCCTCTACTGACCTTGAATGTGTGGCTATGGAGTCCAAGAAAAGGGCTTCTATGAAAGTGGCGCCAAAACAACCCATCCATAGAAAATCCATTGACACTTTCGGTCAAAGAACATCCCAGTATAGAGGTGTGACCAGGTATTTATGTGTTCCTAATTAGCTCTCATTCATAAATAATGTCGTTAATTACTTTCTTCTTTTGTGTCCAATATCTCATTTTATGATGTGGTTATGATTATTAATGCACCAGGCATAGATGGACTGGTAGGTATGAAGCTCATTTGTGGGACAATAGCTGCAAGAAGGAGGGGCAGACCAGAAAGGGAAGGCAAGGTTAGTACTTCATGTAGTCCATATTTTTATTTTTGAAAAATGTGTATGAGAATCTAGAGGCAAATCTATACTCAGATTTGTTTTTATGCATTTGTTTCTGACTTCTAGTTTGGCTCATTTTATGCAATGGTCTGACCTTGGCTCTGCACTTTATTTGGCATGTATATACTTGCTTGGGAAATGGCATTTCACTTCTGCTGCTAATATCAGTATATTTGGGTAAGATTTTTGTTTTCTTTCTAATTTCTTGAATGTAATACATATTTGACATATATTTTTCTTTTTTGTGACAAAAGCAATAATTTTTTGTTCTTTGAGCAGGAGGCTACGACATGGAAGAAAAAGCAGCAAGAGCTTATGATCTTGCAGCTCTTAAGTATTGGGGCCCGTCTACCCACACTAACTTCCCGGTTTGACCCGAGCCCATTAATATGCGCTAGGTTGAAAGATCTTCATTAATTTCTAAGCTAACCAAACATAATCTTTGCAGCTGGAAAACTACCACAAGGAACTTGATGATATGACCAACATGACTCGCCAGGAATATGTTGCACATCTCAGAAGGTTCTTGATTACTAACATTTAACATATGGCTAAGGAAATATGTAGGGGAAGTTCATAAAGATTATTATTAAAACCAATCCCTGTTTCCCAAAATGAAAGTTCCTTTTTTGGCGTTTCGAAATAAAGATTACACTTTTCTTTTTGGGTATAATTCAAAATTTACTCTTTTTACTTGAATCTACAGAGTATAATTTTGACATTTCATTTTTTTTTTCATCTTTTTATATTTCATTTGGTTCTGAATTATCTTCCAACTTTCTGGTTTTTTCGTCTTGTCAAACTATAATCTCACATTTCCCTTTTTGTCAAAGAATTTGCGATTCAAAGCTTTTTTTACACATTTTACACATTTATCTCTTCTTTGCAAACTCTTCCTCACAAATTTCTCAATTTCTTAATTCATTTGTAAAACCCTATTTGGAAGTTATTTGAGGGATACATAGAGTAATGAAAAGTAAGGGTTATTCAAGTTTGTTAACCACTTGTTTTGGGACAAACATTTAGTCCTACAAATAAATCCCTTGTTTCTAGTTTGATTACTCAGAAGTAAGTTCTTCTTTTTTATAAAAATAAAGTTTATATTAGCTGAGTGTCACTTATACTGTAACTTTTTTTTATTTAAAATAAAATAATGATATATTTGGAAAATCATAGTAAAATTATAATTCGTATATATACGTAATATTTGTTTAGGTAAAATGGGTAACTTGTTTCAGAATTTGAAGAAATAATACTGTATATTTTCTGTAAATTAAATCATCATTAGTTTTCTTGAAAATAAGACCCAATTCACTACCAACCACGTACGAAGTATTTCCTTGTTTGTGATTTAATGACATATTTTTTGCCCAAAACAGTGCTAAATCTGTTTTAATTCCTATTTACAGTAATACGGAGTAACATCTTAAAACTATAGTCGCTGGTGTTTTTAATCGGACACTACTGTGTTCTTACAAATATTTGACGATGTATTTCTTTTTCATGTTTTCAGGAAGAGCAGTGGGTTTTCCAGAGGTGCTTCAATATACCGCGGTGTAACAAGGTTTCGATGAAATCTTTATTTTCGTGCACAATTATGGAATATTTTGCCCAATTTTTGTCATGGAATCTCAATTTTTTGTACCCTTTTTAACAGGCATCATCAACATGGTCGCTGGCAAGCTCGAATCGGTAGAGTTGCAGGAAACAAAGACCTTTATCTTGGAACCTTTAGTAAGTCTATCACTCCCTTGTCCGTCTATTTTTAGTATTGTATTTAGCAAATAGATTATTTCTGTGAATTATTTTGAATGAATAGCTAGCAATACATTCTTTTTCATTTTCATTTACCCAGTGCCCCAAAGGCTCCCACCTAGGGTGGGGCAAGGGGGTCGTATTTACGCAGTCTTACTCCTGTACTAAAGCAAAACTGTTTCCGAATGACCCATAGTGAAAATCGCGTCCAAAATTGCATGGATCGACTGCTGCTCCATAATAAAGAAGCGCAAACAATTTAGTGAGGCATTTTGCTTTATTCCATCATAATCTCAAAAAGCCAAAAAATAATGAATTTTGACTCCATTGCAAATGCTGGAAAAATTTGAAATGTAATGCTTAGTGATCATATTAGTAGGGGTGCACTAATCACGTGTATGTTTACTTTTGCATTTTAGTGATGCATTTGGTCTGTTTATATGTTGATGTCTTTGAATGGGATATAGATTAATGTATGAACTTGATAGGCACCCAGGAAGAAGCAGCAGAAGCATATGATATAGCTGCAATCAAGTTTCGGGGTGTGAGTGCTGTCACAAACTTTGACATATCCCGATACGACGTCGGGAAGATAATGGCGAGCAACACTCTCCCTACCGGGGAGTCAGCGAGGAGGAACAGAGAGAGGGCAGCGCCTGTCGAGGCCATTGAGTATAATAACATTTCCCTTCAACCGAACCACGAATGCCTTCACGAGGGTAAAACCGCGAATTCATCGGACTGGAGTATGATGTTGTACAATACCAACGCGCCTTTCGAACCAATGCCGCATGAAAAAGAGCTAAACACGGGGAACTACCATCAGAAACCGTTGTTCTTGGGGGCCCCGCATGATGATGTCGTGTATGAGAACGATGACGAACCCGACAAGCTTCTTCACGAGAGTAGCCACATGTCGAACCCGTCGTCCTTGGTGACCAGCCTGAGCAGCTCGAGAGAAGCGAGTCCAGACAAGGTGGCGGGTGGCTTGGCAATGGTGTTTTGCACGAAGCCCACTGCCATGTCAGCAACCAAGTTCTTGATTCCAGCTGGCAATGTCAATCCTTGCTTCCCAAACACCATATCTCACCTCCCAGTGTTTGCTGCTTGGAATGACACTTGAAATCTGTCTATATTTACGTCAAGGAGTAAGGACCGGATGAATGTAGGGTTCCTGTTTAGTTAGTTTCTAAAAGTTCTTAGTGGATATTAGTGGGAAAATTAATAGAAAGACATGGTGGGGTAGGGTGGGGGGTCAAGTATCTGTTTGTAACTTTATTAGTGATTTAGTGTTGGACAAGTTTTTCAAGACTAACCCTTTTTTCCTGGCAACGTTGTCGTTTTGATTTTGGAAAATGGAGGGAAATGGAATTCAAGAAAGTTGTACTTTGGTTAAATTGGTCTAATATTCCATTGTTAAGTTCTTTAGTTGATCCTATTGTAGATCTAATCTGGAAGACCACTGTTGGTAGACTTATATGATAGACTAACTCCAAACACTAAAGTATGGAGGGGTAAGACATTGTGGTGTGATTGAACATTTGCTTTTTCTTTTCTTTCACTTTGGGGTTCTGTAAAGTACAAAAATCAGCTAAATGCTTTCTCAATAATGCAAGAAAAAGTAAGCTCAATACTTTGACCAAATCATGGAATAATCTCCACATATCCTATCTGCTCCTCAACACCATCATTGTTATGTTCTACTTTTCACTCTTGAGCATTCTTAAAAGCCAACAATCCAACATTCCCTCTACTCTACAGTTTGAATTCAGTGAAAAGTGTGTTAATATTTTGAATACACTGTTGGTTTCCCATTGGGTGATGGAAAAATATATCATTCTATGGTTGGCACAATTGTGACCACACTTCACTTGCGTTGTTTTGGATTAAACATTGCATTACCTATAGTCTAATAATTTTTTACAATCCAAAAGAGAGACTTTTATGTCGAAATTATTCTTTTCATCCCATAATAAGTATTGTATTTGTTCTATTAATGATAAGTCCAAAGGTAAAAATGTGAAAGAGAGGCTAAATGGTCAATAGATAGTACTGCTTTCTTAGACCAACTTTTTGACAAAATGTTTATTTGAATGAAAGTAAAAGTATGGACTCCGCAAGTAACAAATAAATAATTTATTTTACGAAAGTAAATAGGGAAAGGTGAAATTTTTGGAGCTAAAACTCTAAAAGTAAAGGAAAGTATACATAATACGGAGAACTGGAGAAGAATAGAATACAACATAGAGTGATGAATGATGATGATTCACGGTAGAAGTTCTTGATAAAAGATTTTGAGCATTTTCTTCACCAAGATTAGATTATATCCATAAAAGTTCAGATTAAGATTCAATTGGAAAGAGAAGTCAGTTATATAAATTATTGAAAAAACGTATTGCTTTTTAATCATTTGTTTAGTTAACTTCCTAATTGAATTTTAAGCTGCAATAGTAATCCCATAGATACCACTACTTCTATCTCCACCAAACTTGCATTCCATATACTCATTCTTTCTTCGACTCAATCTAAAAGCATTGGTCTCTAATGTTTGTCGTCATACTTCCAACTTTGTTTTAACAACCGATAGTGTCTCGTTTATCAATACAACATTGTCTACAAACATGATATACCACGGTATATCTTCTTGAATTGACTTTGTAAGTTCATCCATGAGTATAACAAATAAGAAAGTAATAGGGAACTCTACAGTTGTCTTCCTACGCTAGTACGAATACTTGTAGTACAAGGCTCATACATATTCATGATGATACTGATATATACTTATGTGATATGTCTTTTCTAGTGAAGATCCAACAAATGATTTCTCGATGTCCTTATCATATGCCTTTTCTAAGTCAATAAACACCACCAAATGCAGATCCTTTTTAGCTTCTATATACTTCTCGACAACTTGTCGAAGAAGGTGAATGACCCAAGCTGTTGAGCGTCCAAGAATAAAATCCAACTGATTCTACGAAATTTTCACATATTTTTGAAGTCTTTGATCAACAACTCACTTCCAAAGTTTCATGGTTTGACTCATAAGCTTAACCCTCGCCATTTGACACATTCTTGTACATCACCCTTATTTTTAAGGACTAAATATGTTTTTAGTCCATACAAAAATATAGTACATTTTGTTTTACATCACTGTAATTTTTTTTTTCCTCCCTGAAATTTATGTTGGGGTTCTTTTTAGTCCATCAGTGATGATAACAACCTCCGTTTGACCTCATTTTAATTCTTTGCTATGTTATTCAAAAAGTATTTATTAATTTTGTTTCTAGAAGGGTTTTACTACGTATTTTTAAAATGCGAATAATTCGTTTTCCATTGTTTTAACTCTCATATTAGTATCAAAATAATTATAAAATGATAAATTTATACGTAGTATATTCTAGTAGACTTAGGCAACTGAAAATAAAAAAATTCTAAGTAGAGTGGTATTGGAGTTAGTGATGGACTAAAATCAAAATAATGCATATTTTGCATAGTAAAATAAAGTGTGTAATATTCGCAAGGACTAAAAACATATTTACATGAGATCGAGGATGATGGTGATAATGATTTTGAGAACTTTTTAGGATTCGGTGAAACTCTTCAATATTTGTGTATTAGTTGGGCACATCCTGCACTTTAGTTTATATATTTTGCGCTTAATTATTTTTTCAGTGCTGCTATTAATGCAACATTTTGCAAATGTTAAATTGCTTAAAGTGCATTTTTTTGTGATACAAAGTGCACACGCAATTTAAATAAATATTTTTCTGTGAGATGTGTAAAAGTGAATTTGAAAGTGCACAAATGCACGAGAAATGTGTAAGATCATGCAATAAAACATGCTATTATAAAAGTACTAGTGTACATAAATGAACAAGAAAGGTGCAAGAGAATGCAATGATAAGTGCTTTTAAGAAAAGTGTGAATGAACACACACACACAAACAAACACATATGCACGAGAAAAATGTAAGATGATGTAATGTTCAGAACTATTTAGAAGTGTGAGTTCATAGAACAGAAAGTGCATGATTCACAAGTAAAAATCTATTTATTAATATCTAAAATACAGTCTTTAAAATGCACAACGAGCAATCTGTCAATGCACAATTATTTACAGTATACTCTGTAGCTTCTTATCACGTAATGATTAATTTTTTCGATATAGAAAAATGTGCACTTTTTGTGCAGTGCACTTACTCAAACGTTAAAGTGCAAAATTTGAATTATTCCCAAGATATGATTAAATTTAGTAAACTGTAAATTAAGCGCAACATTTTGTTTGATTGAAAGAACATTCACTCATGTGAGTGGTACGAGGAGCATGCATAAATTGAGACACTAAATGAACTGCATAAGTAATATCGGGTCATGTCAAAGTTAAATACTACAATGCACCTACCATACTGTGATACTCAGTGGCATCAGCCAGAAGATCGCCATCAGTGAGAGAGTGTCGTGCGTGTAGCAACAGGTGCACGAACAGACTTGAGAGTGTGTAAGTGAAAACGAAGGAGAAGGCCAGACACATATTTTTGTTGAGAAAAAAAATTCCTTTGGAATTTCGGACAACTTGGACAACCCAAAAATAATGGAGATCACCCACATCTTTCATAGCAAAATGTGACGCTATGCGACCAATAAAAGACGAGACGAGAGAAGGTGAATTACCTGTGATAATAATGTCATCAACGTATAATAACAAGTAAATCACCGACTGACCGTGATAATAAATAAATAAAGAATTATCTGACTTACTACATAAAAAATTATGAGTAAGTAGAAAACTACTAAAGCAATGAACCCAAGCCCGCGGGGCCTGCTTAAGACCATAAATGGCTTTTTGCAGACGACACACATGATGAGGAAACTGATGATGAATAAATCCCCATAGCTGACACATATAAACTTCCTCATTAAGGTGACCATGTAAGAATGCATTTTTCACATCCAACTGACGTATAACCCATCCAAAAGAAATAGCAAGAGTGAGAACAATACGAACTGTGGTGGGTTTGACCACTGGACTAAAGGTTTCAAAAAATCCACACCGGCCTGCTGATTAAAACCTTGAGCAACTAAACGTGCCTTATGGCGCTCAATAGACCCATCAGAATGAAATTTAGTTTTATAAATCCACTTAGACCCAACCACATTTTTAGAGTTATCAAATGGAACTAAATCCCATGTATTATTGGAGATAAGTGCATTAAATTCATCCGCCATGGCCTCACGCCAAATTTAGTGTTTACTATCTATACAAAAACTTTGTGCAGATAACAACTGTGTTGTAATCTTCGATAAAAATTCTTTTTCTGTTAAGGACAAAATTTCAGGGGCGGTCCTTCATCAAGAACCTAGTCGTGGTCACCTTTACCCTGTCACTCCCAGTGGCGGAGCCAGAGGTTTGTCCAAGGAGGGGCAAACCAAAGACTAAAAATTTTAAAGTTCGTGTCCAAAATATAATAAGAACAACAATAGCGTAATAATTTAACAAAAAATTATAGTTCATTACATACTACTTGATTTACTTCTGCAACCTAGGCAAATCAATCCTACGAGTTTTCATATTTTGAAAATGCTGCATAATAGCTTCATTATCAATTGCTTAAAAAATGTCTCTTTCGATGTAGCATACTAAGCAATCCGTAAGATAGTCATCTCCCATCAAAGACCTCTTAGTCTTAATTACAAATTTATCCAAACTCATACTCCTAAATATAACAAAAATAAGTATGAATTAAAAATGTTCCTTATACAAATAGCATTAAATTGCATCTAGAACTGAGATTTGAGGATTCACACAAATAATTTCTGACTTTTCGTTAGGGATGAGAGCAAATAATTAATATGGGCATAAATTGGCAGATGAGAAACTTACTTGAAAATTGCAGAATTTGAGAACAAATGGGGAGAAGTGAGAACTAGGGCTGGATTCGGTTCGGGAACCGAACCGAAATAGGAAATATCCGAACCGAACCGATCTTTCGGTTTCGTATATTCTATAACCCGAAACCGAACCGATCTAAGTTGGGACCCAATTTTTCGGACACCGAATTTTCGGTCCGGTTATTCGGTTTTTTCACAAAAACCGAATGGGTATTCAATATTTGTTTATATTGTAGCTAATACTTGCACTCAAGCTTTACTAGCAACTTAATTTTTATCAACTATGAAGGAGCGATTATATAGGCTCAAATGAGGAGTGAATCCTCTATTTCATCCGGTGTGGGACGAGTTGTAGGCTGAAGAAAATAAAATTGGAAGAATTGGGGCGGAAGAAAAGCAAAACAAGTTTAACTTAATCCGTCCTGGGGGGATTCGAACACGGGTGATACGAAGGGAGCGTGTTACCTGTCTCCACTGAGCTACTCCGGATTATTGGCAAATTGGGATGCCAAATGTATTACATACATTAATCCCCTTTTATTCTATATTTCATTTTTTTACTTTTTCTAAAAATACTTTTTTATTTATTTTAACACTTCATCTTAAAATAACCTTAAGTTGTACTTATTGTTTTTAAAATTAAAAAAGAAGCCGGGGCAAGAAACATATTATAAGTAATACTAGTAAAAAAAATTAGTCGGAGCGGGGGCGCTTG